CTAAAATAATTAAACTAACTAATTTTAAAATTAGCAAGCGAGAAGATAAGAATTTTAAAACTTACTATTTGATTTTTGATGACGATACTAAGGATGCTTACTTCTGTTTTGAAGGAAAAGTAAAAGAGGGCTGGGATGTTTTAAGTAAAAATCCTTCTCCTCTTAATATTGAAGTTGAATACGAGGAAAATGAACAAAATGGCAGAATTTACAAAAGGGCAACTGCTCTTTGAGAAGAGTTTGAAATTGTGTAATATTACGAAAAAAAAAATAGAAAAATTAGAAAATAAAATGATAAAGAAAATAATTATGAGCATTGATCCTTCGGGTCAAGGAACAACCGGTCTTTGTCTAGTGGACGAAACGACTGGCAAAATGGAGTTTGATGAGATTGCTGATATTGATTGGCAAAATCATTTAGACGGAATAATTGAGATAAAACAAAAATGAAATCCTGATATAATTGTTTACGAAAATACTAATCGTGTTCAGACTACTAACAAGGGTCCAGCGATGACTAATTTATTTCGACTAATGGGAGGAATTGAAGCTTTAAGCCGTTTTTTTCCTAATCTGAAAGTTACTTTTAGTTTAGTTAATGTCGTCAAGCCATTACACAAAAAACTTTATGATTATAAAGAACTAAAAGAAAGATGACCAGATTTTATCAAAGATGAAGCAATAATTAAAGGACTAAGTTATAAGGATGGACGGCCCAAAAAAGGCGAAGTGAGTGGTTGATTGTGAGAAGGTAAAAAAATAAGCGTTCACCAATTGGACGCTCTTTTGGTCTATTATCTTTGAAAGCGAAATTGTTCCACATCCAAGTCTTTATAACCATATAAAATTATATTATAGGGGGCAGGAGAAAAGATGATGAAAGAGATATAATTGTCTCTCTCTCTCTATGGAGTAAAAGAGTTTTTAATTTAATCTAAAAAGTAAAAAATGAAGAAAATTTTAATTAGAAAAATAATATCATATAAAATAATATAATAATATAAAGAAAAAATAATATGAATGTAAATTGAAAAAACTGCCCCACTTGCGGTAGAACGACCCTTGGTGAATTAAAATGTGTTTTTTGCAATGTGCCGGAAGGAGCCAAAATCTCCTGCGATACTTGTGGCATATTGAAAGAAACTTTTTGAATGCATCAATTTAAAGGAGGGAAGACATTATGTGGCAGTTGTTATGGTGAGAAGTTGCATAAAGAAACCAATAAAAATTTAGGCATTTCTGACTGAACTGAAGAACAAAAATCTAATGAAAGTAATATGGTTAACAAGTGTAGAACTTGCGGGCGAAATCCCGCATCTATACAAAATACAAATAGCGAGCATGATGGCCGTTGCTATCCTTGTTATAAAAATATAGAGGAGGCTCGTTTTTGAGAAAAAAATAAGTATTGTAATAAATGTGGGCAAGAGCAAGAAATAAAAGGAACTTTTGTTTTTTGTAAAAACTGCTTTGAAAATAGTAGCAAACCTGTCGGCTCTCAGTGTAAAAAGTGTAAATCTGCTAAAAGTATTGAAGGTTTTTGTAAATGCACTATGGATGCTATCCAAGAAATAAACTCCCGGCCTCCCACTTGCAATTCTTACCTAGATAAAAATAAGAGATGTGGCGAGTGTCCAATGTGCCTAGGTGCCAAACATCATGGAGCAATAGAAGATCAGAGAAGAGAATTAAATAATTGAAATATTAAAGTCCGTAGTGTGCAAGTTTGGGTTGAAAAATTCAACAAAGGAAAATATCCAGAGTGTCCTTATTGTCAAGCCGAAATAGGTCTAGACACTTGAATTAGCCCTCAATTTGACGATAGCGTATTTGCCAATATTGGTCGCGAGTTAGAAAAGGAAAAATGGATTCATGTTGAGAATTGTTCTAGTGCTTCGGCAGAACAAAAAAATGAAGCTGCAGAAAGAAGAAAAAATATGATGGCTGAGGATGATGTTAAATATATAAAAACTGAGTGTAAGAATTGTGGTAAAAATGATTGATTATCTCAAAACTCTCTCCATTGTGTTGACTGCATTATGTCCTATGCTGAATATTTAGTTCAAAAAAGCATTCAGGAAGGTAGAATTAATGATTTACAAAAATTATGAAATCAAAAAAAATCTATCCGAGAAGCACACATTAAAAAATTAAGAGAAGTTGATCCGGACGCAGCCCAAAAATTAGAGACTAAGTATAATTCCCTAGAAAATGAGATATTTAAAGAGACAAAAACCACTTCTTCCGCCCGTTCCCGCAAAAATGACAATAACGATAAAACGGGTCCGTTGATTGTAGGTGGAATAATTATTGGCGTTCTAATTATCGGCGGATTAGTTTGATGAAAATTAAGAAAAAGAAAAAACAAACCTCTTCAACGTTAATATATTATGGAAGTGAACAAGGAAATTATTAAAAAATGAATGGAAGAAGAATATTATGAAGAGGTAATTTTTTATCCTAAAAGAAAAAAGATAGAATGTTATGGTTTCAATGTGGTTCCCGGTTTTTTTGGTGGCGATGATACATTTAATAGGTGAAATGACTTAAAGGATGTTAAGGATTTATCTACTTCCTCTACTCCCGAAGAGAAGTTTATTATTGATTTGTTTCAGTGAGGTAAGAAAGAAAAAGTTAAAGAAATTGATGCCAATTATGAAAAAGATTCAAATAGTGGAAAGTATGTAATTAAAGAGATAAAAATTAAAAATAAACCTTATTGACAATGTTGATTTTGTAATGGTAGTCTCCAGCAAGGTAGTTCCTACTGCACTAATAGGAATTGTGAAAATAACCAAGAGAGAGAGAGAGAGAGAGAGAGCAAAATCGGAGCAATCCCAACAAGCCCAAGAAAGGCGGATGCCGAAAATGCGGTAGAAATGATTATTTAGTTGATAATGAAATCTGTTTCAACTGTGCTTTGGCCATGTTTCGCTTAGAGATCCAAGAAATGGTTAAGGATATGGGTTTGAAGTCAGTCCAAATTATCTGAGAACAAAAAAAAGTTGAATTAGAAAATCAATTTAGATCACTCTTATTAAATTTAGAGCGAACTGACTCCAACATGGCTAGAATAGTTAAACAGAATAGAGATAAAATGATAGAAACCATTGAAGGAGACTTATATCCCGAACGGAAGAAAAATAAAGGAAATGCTGGTTTGATATGATTTATCGTAATAGCAGGGGTTTTAATGGCGGGTATAATTGGTTTTGTTTGGTGAAAAAAAAGAAAGAAGAATTATTAAAAATAAAGAAAATTTTAACTAAATATGAATGATATTAATAAGCAAGAATTACAACGAGATATTGAAGGCTTTCAACAATTAATAAAAGAAAGCAATGTAAAAATTAAGGACTTTAAAGAGGTCAGCGAGAAATATAAGAATAAAAAGCATATTAGAGATATGATGCTGTATGCTATCAGTTGAAAAGGAACGACAAGAGAACTTTTATAAATGGCAAATTAATCAAAAAAGCCAAGCATTAGCGAGCATTGAATAGGAGAAACACAAAAGGAAATTAAAAAGTATAAACATGTGAAACGAGAAAATAATGAAACAAGGGAAAGAAAAAGAATGAAATAAAGAGGATTTAGGTAATTCTTGCCATCGCCAAAAAGTATTCTATTAAAAGGATGGATTACTATCTCATGACATACGGATAGGATTATTGCGAGAAACCCCCAATAAAGAACTCATGTTGGAAGTAGAAAAAAGAATTGGAAGGGGAGAAATTGATTTACCGGCCCTTATAAAGTATTTAGAAACGAAATTAGAGACCAAAAAAAAGCAAGAAGAAAGTAAGTAAATATGATAGGAAATAACCAAATAATCAATAATTTAACTATGGAACTATCAAAAAAAGAAATTAAATTTTATAAAAAATACGGGATAAACCTAGAAAAAGCAAAAGAAATGAAAGCAAGGCAAAATTTAAAACTCTATCTTAATTATGAAGTATCTGGAAATTGAGCCTTTAAGCAATCAGGATTAAAAAAATGCTGAAATAGCAAACAAGCAAAAGCATATTTGAAAGAATTAGAAAACCGCGAACAAGGAATATGTCAAAAAATAATATAACAACTCTATACAACCACTTCAAAAACACCCCAAAAAAACTCAAAATAATTTGCGATTGGGATGAAGTAATCCAAGCTTGCGAGCCTTATGCTACTTGATTAGAAAAGTT